GAAGACGTCTTGGCCTTGTTGAGTTTGCTCCCGAGTCCTTCATCAGGAATCCAGAAAGGAGAGAAAGGGGCGGTCCCAGAACACGTGACTGTGGGCGGGCGGGGGGAGGCGAGGCGCACGCCAGCTCGCAGCATCGCACCGCATCCCACCGCCCAGTGCCCGCAGAACGTTCTTCTGCGTTCCTAAGTGTCCAAACGGAGTCCTCGGAAGCAGGCTTCGACTGGTCAGAGAGACAAAGAAAAGGAAAAAGTAGAGGTGGGATGGAAGGGGTGTGCGGTTCTGCTGGGAGGGGTGGCAGGCAGGAAATCCACTAGCCTAAGCCAGAGGCTGCCGGAGGGGTAGCTCTTCGTGTTGGGGGGAAAACTCAGCGTCCGATTAACGTTACCACTATTATTATTATTTTTCAATTGAAACATTTCATTTCGAACATTTACTGAAAAGCGAAACCCTTGAATTCTTCCTGGTAGAGTCAGTATTCCATTACACAAAAATGTGCAGCCGACTTAAAAGGACTGCACGTGAGATTAAGATAACTGGTACTTCACGGTGAATGATTAAATTAGCTGGCACAGGCCTATCCTGAACTTTGCCTTGAGGACCCACAGCTTTTGCGGTGTGCGTAGCGGAGTGTGGGTCATCTAAACTGGAAGGAAGGCGCTTATTCTCTTTGAAACGGAAACACCGTCAAGGAGCAGTGTTCTCTGAAATGCGTAGGGGAGTTAATGTGGAATTCAGGAAAGCAACCACAGAGCGTTCTGTTGTAGTCTGCCTAGATGTGCTCAGAGAACTCAGGAGTCCTTGAGAAATTACGAAAGAGACAGGGAGAGGGAAGAAAAAGATTGATTAATTTATTTACTAAAATTTTCAGATAGAAGTATCTGGGGAAAAAAACCTCAAAAGCGGCAGAGAGTTTTTTTTTTTTTTTTCCATAGCAAAATCTCAGAGGAGGAAAAACTTTGTTCCCTATCGGGCAGTCAGTCTATTTCTGTAGTTCCAACAAAACTCACCTTTTTACATACTCATGTTGCTTTTTGGGTCTCCCTTTTCGCAGCCAGCAAGGTAACAAGGGCAGTTAGAGAGAAAGAGTCAAATTTCTGAAACACAGAAAGATTTCGCCCTGAAATCAGGCATGTATGAGTGATTCTCTTTTCTTTCTTTTTCTCCCTGCAGTCACTTCTGTGATGGGGTCCCCTGCTTCAGTTAGGTTTTCTGGATTCCAGGGATCCAGGGAGTTCTGGGAAGGGCTCCTACCATCTTATTCAGAAGTAATTAACTACAAAAAATAGAGGCCCCTTTTTCTCATCGTACTTTGAACCACTAAGCACGAAACACCAGTTTTCAGACCATTAGTGCAAAGCATCTTCCGCAGGAGGCAACAAAATGTTGCTTTATATAACTCAGCTACAGTTAACAATGCTTTCAAAAAGCAGGAATCTCCCTGAAAAGAAATTTACATGAAAACAGTCTCATTGTGTGAGAAGTTATGCAAATACTGTGCAAAGGGGTTGGATAGTGATTTTATAAAAATTAAATCTTTATCACTGCCTCAAAGATAGCCTGAGAAACTTGGTTATTTACAAAGAATTCCAATGCCCTCTTTAAAAAAAGTGAGTACACTACTGAGTTGTTTAATTTTTTTTTCCCTTAAGCTCCAAACTTCTTCCTAAGCTTCAAAGCCTGCTGTAATGAACGTCCTACAGAGAGTCTAGTGCTTTTCGGTTTAACATTTACAAGCATCACTCATTACTAGTTAAGAAAATTGAAGATAACAACCATGAAAACTGACATAGCTCCAAGTATTTTGAACAACGTAAAATGTTTCTCCCGTGGGTGTAGCTTTTAGGGACCCCATGGGGATGCACACCCCTCAGCGCTCAATCAGCAGAAGATGGAGCTCTAAGTGTCTCAGTTCGAGTTGATTGCCTCTCAACTCCCCAGTGCTAGGAATTGGATATGTCCATTACGGAATGTTCAAACAATAGATTGCCATGCCAGGAATCTGATCTCCATAGAAGGACATGGAGGGGATGGGCGAGGAACAGGGTGTTGGACCAAGGGTGATGACATTTCCCTTTGATTTTTACTTCCTTTGAATTCTTTTGCGTTTACTACCTAGAATCTGTCTGGCTTTGATTCCTTCAATTTCTTTTTGTCTTCTTTCCCTCCTAATTCACTGTGGAAGATGATCAAAGAATGGGGTTTCTTCTACTCCAGAGGTTGGCATTCGTGCAGGCACAAATGAGATTGGTTCTTAAGCACTGGTGTTTGAACACTAGGAATTCCTTTAATGATCATGCCAGACAATATAGACTTTGGAATCAGGCATTTTGGTTCTAGGTCTACTGTTTACCAGCTTTGACACTGTGGACAAGTCATCTGGACATCTTTAAGCCTCAGTTTCCTCTTCTGCAAACAGAGCCATCATCATCATCATCATCATCATTCTATCTCACTAGTCAAAAAACAAACAAACAAACAAAAAACAACCTTAAGCAAACCACCATTCATGTACTCTCAACATATCTATGTGTGAGCGCAGATTTATTTTTTGTACAGGTACTGTTGTACTATGTATTTTGTAAGTTATAAAATATACAAAAATGGAAATTAGATACTGAAATTACAAAATAAATGGAAATAAAATTTTTAATATTTTCTTTTTGTCTTGTACAGCCCCACTTTGGAGAAGCATAATATGTGTAATATGTCTAGTGAGCCTCCCCAAAAACCGAGTTTCCCTACTGAGTTTATGATTAACCTTTCTATCCAAAAATGTATTCCCTTTCTGGTCCCACCCCTGTTCCTCTCAGGATTGAGGTGTATCAAATAAAAGAAGGGGTTGAAACCGAGCAGGAACTGGCAGGGCCTTCTTGAATACAAAAGCTCCTCCATTTTTGTTTACAGAAAAAGGCTTTTGTTTCCCTGGCCTTCCCTGATTTCCAGAGCAGATTTGAGGAAAACAAAAGCAGTTAAGGAAGATAGTTTGAACAATAGTTCAGCAATAAAACAGAGTCCCAGTCCCCTCCTCAAGGGATATACATAATAATCTGATACCATCTTTGAGTTGTTCTGCAGAAACAAAGACCCTCCACCCAGGTGGAGGATGGTGACTACCTACTGACCACAGGCAGGTAGACCCTAGAGATGAAGATTCCCGAAACACCACCCTGTTACCTCTCACCAACCGATCAGAAGAAAGTCATGCTCCCTGCAAGTTTCACCCCAAATTTTGCCTTGAAAAACCCTTCCTTGAAAGCCATCTGGGAATTCAAGTCTTTTGAGCATGAGTTGCCCATTCCTCTCGTGTGGTGCCCTGCAAATAAATGCTGTGCTCTCCTTCACCACAACCTGTGTCAGTAGATTGGCTTTGCTGCACAGTGGTTGAGCCAACTCAAGTTCAATCAGTAACATTAGCACTCAGCCTAGCAAGAAACAAGACTCACTACATGCTATGTATTATTTATTTCTATGTCTAAGGAACAGCCTAGTTGAAATGAAGAATGTTCAGCTTCATATTGGTTTCTTTTTTGACATGACTTTGCTTGTATATAAGTAGCAGAGAACAGCTGAGTTATAAGTCAGTCTCTTCCAATGTAGAGGAATCTCATTGTACAATCCTGGCCAGCACTGCCTTCTGCTAAAGGAAGAATTACACAGTTATTTTCAACAGCACTTTATGTTCTGAGGCAGATTGGTGGCTTCTCCCCTTCAGACAGGCAACAAAGACAGTACAGTTGCTCCCTGTGGTGTGAGGCTGGGGTTATAGTGCCTCCTTGAGAAATGAAAACCATACTATAATATTCTGTGCAAGTGGAGAGGAGAATGGGGGAGGACAGATTCAAAATTGGAGGAAAACAGAAAAGTCTTCATCTTTTTCCTAATTACCCTTGTACTGCAGTCAGTCTTACCCTTGACCTTACTTACCATGTACGATAGGTAAGACACACTGATTTTGAATTTTATTGATGTGGCATTGAGTACATGTCTAGAAATTTGTATAGATACTCTTGGTATAGATGCTTCTAATTTCACTCATTCATTTGTTATTTCTAAGCATTGTTATATATACTAAACATCCACTACGTGTCAAGCACTGTGCCAGGCACTATTTTGGGTTTATCTTTGGAAAAAAGAGAAGCAGGCCAAAGGAACTGATGGAAATAAGTCAACTGCAGGGCCCAAATCTCCACTCAGGAACTCAGGAACTTGAGACTTGCCAGGAAATTTGATGTGAACCAAGTGATAACTGACATCACACTTCTACATGAGTGAGAATCCATCTTTCTCCTGGGAAATCCCTTTATTACCTACAATGTAAAACTTTGACAAAATAAATCTTATAAAAAATATTGAAAAAAGTCAGGACAGTAAGAGCAGAATAGGAATTTGCATTCATCTTTACAAAAGCACACAGTAGGTACTTTAATTCTGTTTTGGTTATTCTGGATCCAGGCTTAGCGATTTCCTAGAGGTCAGCCTTTTTTGTTGGCTTCAGTCTTCCTGAGACATAAAATCTGAGTGTGATGTCTGTGTGCGTGTGTGCCTGTGTTAGACATTTCTGGTTCCACTGATACCCAGTTCTCCTCTTGTTTTTGCATGCAGAGAAGACCATTTTTCCTGGAACTCAGAGGGACCTGGGACAAATTCTAGCTAACGAGTTGTAAACTGAAGTGGGATAATGTCCCTTCTGAGTCAAAGCATAGAAGGGTATTGATGAGATACCCCTTGCCTCCCCTTCCTCTGTGGAGACATGATGAGGTGTGTAACCCCCTTCAACATGGTCCCCAGGTAACCATATGAGCAGTGCATCTCATTAACAAAAGAATAAACCTTTGTCCTGATAATCCACTGATTTCAGGGCTAATTTGTTACCTCAGCATAACCCATTCTCTCCCTACAGTTATAGGGTTTTTATGTTTTAGTTTTTCCTGGAAGAAGAGGGGCTCTATAGATCTTTCTCCAAAGATGTTCTACTCTTAGAAATTGTGAGCAAAGTACCAAGATTTGAAGCCATCAGGGGACTGAAGTGAGAGCAGTGGATAAAAACATCAAGGAAAAGGGCTCACGTATCTGTAATGAACATAAATGCTTGCTGGCCAAGTCTGCATCGTCAGATGTCTGCGAGGCAACACCCCGCTGATGGCTCTTCAAGGGAGTCATCTATGGAATTTGAACTGTGACAAGATTTTTCCTTTCTTAGAGAATGGGCAAGTGTCCTTTCAGGCTTTCAAAAGTGAGGAATTAAAGGTGACTTTCCTTGTGTGGTTTTTAAGATCGTACACAATGAAGTTCGTACCATGAAAATCTCTAGGAATGATGACTACTTAGGTCTCTGAGAAAGACGTCCAGAAGAGTGAACCACAAATGGGAATAAATAAAACTTGGCACAAGCAAGTCCCAAGGGAAAAATAACATTTGGGGCAAAAGCTCTCATTAACAGTATCCTGCCGGGGGGAGGGCATAGCTCCATGGTAGAGCACGTGCTTAGCATGCATGGGAGTTTCTGGGTTCAATCTCCAGTACCCCCATTTAAAAATAATAATAAAAAAATAAAAGAATAAAATAAATAAATCTAATTATTCTCCTTCCAAAAATAAATAAAAATAAAATAAATAAATCTATTAAAAAACTGTTAAACAGTAAACATGCAAACAACAAAAAATGAAGTTAAAAACAAACAAATTAAATAAAGAGTATCCTGGAAAAAAAAAGAGTATATTGAAAAGCTTCTAGTATAACATTTTTATTCATAGAGCTGATACGCTGTTACACAAGGTGAAATAATCGTCTTACACTGCTGACTAAGTGACCTCATGGAATAAAACCTCTACGAGTAGAGAGGCTGTAGTAAGTATGCTGAGTTTGAACGACAGTCGCATTTCTCGGCCGCTGCCGGCCTGGGAGCGCGGTAGCTCGGCAGGTGCTGAGGCTGACTTGTTGATCTGTGTGGCCCTCTCAAGTGCACGTTTCAGCCTGCTTGCGCCCTCCTCTGAAACACTTGACCTTTCAGTCTGATATTCTTCAGTGTTATTAGATTAGATGATTAGTTATTAAATATACTGTCTCCAGTAAGTAGGTAATTGTGTAATGCAGTGGCCTTCAGCTTCTCCAAGCCTTGTTCCCATGACATTTACTGTTGGAACCCTAAGTCCTTTTGTAACGGGACTGTTTAACCCTTTCTGTGTGAAGGATGTACGGGGATTTCTCTGGATCTCACATTCAAGTGGATCGAGTGAAGGGCAGTCAAAAATGTAGACCATCACATGGTTTTGAGAGCTATAGAACTCCAAGATCACAGAATTCTTACTATATTTATGTCCACATAATAACAGTTAAAAAAATACATAAACCAACATTTTCCCTGTGACAAGTTGGATGTGATGCTGCAGGTACTCACCAGGCTTTAGGTTGGGAGTTGGAGAAAACTTTATTGTTCTATTCTGCAACCAAAATCACACATGTGGAGAAGTCTTAAACGTCTCTTTTGGTTTCTGCCAAATTTTGCCTGGCATGAAGGGGGAGGGATGGGCAGAGAAAGCGGAAGCGTGGGAAGGACAAGATCGAGCATGTTTTGGTCCCTTGATAAGTGCCACACACTGTGCCAGGCATTTTATAGACACAGACTCATGTAATCATACCCTAAGCAGAAATAAAGTCTGTATTATCAGTTCTTATTTTGCAATTTAGGAACCTCAGACTCAGAAAAGTTAAACTAGCCCAGGATCAAACAGCCAGAGTAGTTGAACTGGGATTTGAACTTGGATCTATTTAACTTCAAAGCTCTTGTTCTTTCCAGTATCTCACACCATCTTCCTTCTAGTAAGTGCCTACTAGGTGTGGATGGGCATTAACACCTGTTATGAAAGGAGGGGGAGTGGTCAGGGAAATCCAAGTATCAGTGATCCATCTGGTGTCTTTTTAATTGAGGGCTGACTGTGTCCCGACAGCACACTGTGATGAATGCAAGAGAGGTGCAGAGACACAACTGCAGAGCCTCTAATTAGAGGTCGAACTCAATTTGAGAAGGCAAAGCAGCACAGATAAAACATTTCCCGAATTGGGTGCTGAATGGCAGGGCCAAAAGTTTACCAAGGGTGAGATACAGATGGTCAGGAGCTGGTTACTGCAGCCCGAGGGAACATCATCTCATTTTGTAGCCAAGATTTGGATGGAAGGGGAGCTTCAGGTATGAGGTGATGACGACATGAGCCTAGACCTGGTGTTAGTGTTGCAGGGGGAGACGAGCCTGGCGGGGGAGGAGGCGACGACCACTTGGTTGCCGTCCCCTCCCTCTCTCTGGACCTCCAAGCATCCTGTGCGCCTCTCCTATTGCTTGTCCGGCACTGAGGTCGTTAACCACATGGACTGCACACATGTCCACCTTGCCCCGTGAACTCCTTGGACTAAGCTTATCAATCTTCCTATCCCCAGTGCTTAAAGCAGTGGGTGGTCTCCACTAGGTGCTCAATACATGCTTGTGAAATGGATGGCTGGAAAGATGGATGCTGGAGAAAAGGTTGAACGATAGGGGAAAAGATTGGAGCCAGACGGACACAGAGGTGAGGAGAAAGTTGAACCAAATAGGACAATAGAAAAGGTCTTGACTGAGTAAGTAAATGAGATACACACAGTCTTTACAAATGGATTAGAATGGTGAGAGACGAGGCCATCTGAGGTGACCAGAGCCTGGAGCAGTACAAGGGAGAATGCGGACAATGAATCAGAAGTCGGGGAGCAGTGAGCAACAGTGGGCGTTTGTTAGGAGGCTGATGTGAAGGGGGAGAGGGAGCAGGAGTCCTCCAGGCAGAAATGTGGGACACAGGGAAAGAATCCTGTTCTAGGGAATAATGAGCTACTTTGAGATAAGTTGAAGATTCTAGAAACTAATAACTATGTTGAGTTTAGGGTGATTTTAAGAATTTGGAAATCTACATGGAAAGAGACTGGGAGTACAGATGAGGATGGCTGTGTAGGTTCAAGCTTCTACCTTTTGGAGGCAGAGACCAGATATGTCTGGGGGTGAAAGATTGCCTCATAAGCTGCCAGAGATTACGGTTTCTGCCTGGAAGCCTCAGGCAGGATTTGAGGAATGAAATGATCCACTTGATTTAGTTCACCATGAGATCTCCTCAGGCCTTGAGGTGTGATTTCAATCTCTGATTAATCAAATTAAATTAATTTTTGAAGCCTCTTGATGGTTAGTGATTCACAGACACACTGACCTGCTCCCCAGCAGAGCCCGTTCCTGCCCTGGTGGCCTGGATCTGCCTTTCCTATGTCAGCGGGGTTGGGGCAGAAGAGGAAGGTGTACACACACACACACACACGATGTTCCTACATCACCAGAGGATTCTGCGCACTCAGCAACGGCAAAACAACGGTTATTGTTAACACACCACACACCACACTTGCTCACAGACAAGGAATACAAACCACACGACACTCGACTTCCCCAAAGTCAGGAGCCGAGCCCAAACCATGACTCCGGACTCTAGACATCAGTTATGTCTCCTGGTCATGAGGGCAATCTTTTTTTCTGGATGGATAATTGACATATAACATAATATTAGTTTCAAGTGTACAACATAATGATTTAATATTTGTGCATATTGTGAAATGATCAGCACAATACATCTAGTTAACATCCACCAGCATACTTAGTGACAAAAAAATGTTTTTCTTGTGATGAGAACTTTTAAGCTCTACTCTTTTAGCCATTTTCAAATGTGCACTACAGAATTATTAACTACAGTCAGCATGCTGTACTTTACATCCCCCACGGCAGCTCTTTCTTTGAACTTGAAGCATACCCACAAATGAGCAACCCCCTCCCCACCCGCACCCCCAAACAACTTGGTGGACAGAGGACTCTGCATTTCATAGGAGATGTCTGCAGATATCTCAGTGAGTTTCCAAAAATAAAAGCACAAACAGTTCCCCTTGCACGAGTTTGTTATGAGAACTACAGGACCAAGAAGAAATGCGTTCTGTCCTGGGGGTACATGCCGAGGACTAGATTTTGCTCATTTTCATAAACATCGTGAAGCATCGTTGGCTCTGAATCCTACAGAGTCGACTTGGAATATTTACGGGGCTCAGACCCACACCGCGGCATCAGGATGCTTTAAGGTTTGGGGAACAGGTTTGCCTACTGACAAATAGCATAATTAGGTGTAATGTCTGAAGTGAACGTACTGGCTCGGGCTTTTAACAGCCCGCGAGCCTGGGCTCCCGCAATAACGGCCTCATCTTGCGTGGGAGCCCCCTGGGCTTCAGGGGGACACAGGCCGAGCTCGTCCACCCGCAGATAAAGCTCGGAGTGGGTTTATTTATATTGGCCTTGTTAGTCATGCAGTCTGTGTGCAAACAAAACAACGTCATTCTTATCTCCTCGGAAAGTGGAATTCATTAGCAATTAAAAGCTGGTGCAGAAACAGGGCCAGGCACCGGGAGAGGTTCATCCCAGCAGAGCGGCTCAGGACGAAGAGAGATCTGTGGGGGGGGGCTGCTCCCTCCGATAACAGCCCTGCCACGTCTGCCGAATGAATTGTGTGTAATAAACGGTTTACCCAAGGAAGGATGACCTCACTGTCATTTAATAAGATAATGTCACCAACAATTTCTCCATAAGTACCCTGTTGAAACTTGCTGTCCCCAGGTTCTTGCCAGAGCCCATTCCTGCCTCCTGCCCACTGTCTGGCTTGATTTTAGGGGCAGCTGCCTCCGGGCCAAGTTCACGTTGCTTTGGAAGAGCAAGCTCATTTCAGGACGGGAACGACTGGTCCCCACAGTTGATGGAGACCTCAGGAGTGAGGGAGTTCTATTTGGAACAGGGATGGGCCTGACCATGTTCTTTGTCATCTTTTTTTTGGTGCACAGCATAATGTTTCAGTCATACATATACATACACATATTCCTTTTCATGTTCTTTTTCATTATAGGTTACTACAAGGTATTAAATATAGTTCCCTGTGCTGTACAGAAGAAACTTGTTGTTTATCTATTTTATATATAGTAGTTAGTATCTGCAAATCTTGAACTCCCAATTTATCCCTTCCCACCTCCTTCCCTCCCGGTAACCATACGTTTGTTTTCTATGTCTGTGAGTCTGTTTTTGTTTTGTAAATAAGTTCATTTGTGTCCTTCTAAAAAATTCCACATACGAGTGATACCATGCGATATTTGTCTTTCTCTTCCTGGCTTCACTTACTATGATGGTCTCCAGGTCCACCTATGTTGTCATTTTAAGATCCGGTAACTTCAGAATCGCACGCCTGGACCACTCCATCAAAAAGTCATGCTCAGGGCCAGGGGTAATAATGGGGGAAACTGTGCAACAGGACTGAGGCAGGGGAGGGGTAGATGGGAACTGTCTGTACTTTCTGCTCAGTTTTTCTGTAAACCCAAAACAGCTCTAAGAAATACAGTCTGCTATTAGAAACAAATGAAAAATCATGCCTGCCCATGGTTCGGGGGTGTGAGAGGCCAAAATCTATTTGGAAAAGCTTTTGCTTCCTCTCCATAGGAGACAGAGCAGGAGGAAGCCAAGAGATTTAGAGGGCTACCCCCAGGACAGGGAATTAAAAATGAAAACAGCCCTCCCTCTGAGCTTTGGTGGCCTCGGTTGGTCGGGTGGGAGGTGAGGCTTTCCCCCGCTGAGGGGGGCCACTCGGCTTCCTGATGCTTGAGCTTTGCCTGACCTCCCAGCAAACAATACACAAATGTATCTGTTTGGTATTGCGTAGGTCGACCTGCTGCTTGATTAAATGTTTCACTTTTCAACTGCTAAGCTTTATATAGGTCAGCCTTAGAGTCGGAGAAAGAATTTGTACTAAAAACAATAAACGGTTTTGGAAATAGTTTGAATCAAAACTAAATAAGGTTAATATTGCCATAATATGTCTCAGGCTAATGGGGACTTCGGTTATCATCTGGTACAAACTTTGTCCTCTCCTGAGTGGGCACCAAAGAGTTAAATAATGCAGCCCCAGCTAGGCGGGCAGTGGAAGTTTTAATCCCAGTTGCTGCCTATGGGGGTGAGAGGAAAAGATATTTGATAGTCCAAAGCAGAAGGTAAATATAGAGTAAATTACTTCCATGTAATTGAGGAGATTATTTCAAGGAGGTTGCAACTTGGAAATGGACTGCTGCTGTTCAAAACCTGGGGTGATTATACATCTCCCAATGGTGGCTTCAAGGTGGCACTGAGGGAAGGAGCGAGTCCTGGCTTTCAAGGACAGCTCTAGCTAGTATATTTCATAAAGTCAAAGCTCACATCTTTGATGCTTGTATTACTCAGATCTGTGCAGTAGTTAATAGGAACAGAAATATAGACAGACATAGACGTGTGACCAACAAAACCAAACCACCTTAAATCTGAACTGTGAGTCCTTCCACACAGAAAACAAAAACCCTTTGCAATGAATATAATTGCCCTCGTTCAAGGCAATGGTCCATTTGATCTGAAATGGTGTGGAAAAGCCTGGGAGGGGATCTGTATGAGACACCTAAAAGAATTATTGTAAATATTTTCATAGAATGAGCCAGTTTTCCCAGTAACTCCCAATCTTTGGTTCTAGCTCTTTAAGCCAGTACAAATGTGCTCCAATCCTATGTCCACGTTGTAGTATTTCTAACGTGTCTCCTCTTCCTAAGTGTGTAGGCTCGAGAGCCAGGGAAGCCTTGCTGGGATTCATGGCTGCTTCCATCCATCACCTCTCTGACTTTGGGCAAATCGCCTGGCCTCTCTCAGCCTTTATTTTCTTACTTGTGAAATGGGAATGATAATAGTATTTGCCTCCCAGAAAAATGCTATGAGAACCTAATGGAAAAAATGCATAGAAAGCACTCGTCTCTTAGTCCTTTTCATGATTATGACAATCATCCCACAGAATACATTTTTTCTCATGTGATGTGATGTTTTGCCTTCTCACCTTCTGTTTTTCTTCAAGTCAGTTCAGTGTGTAGCATCCAGAATTGAACAAAATGCCCCAGATATGGCCTGACGGTACAAAGTGGACCTCCATCTCCTTCATTCCAGGTTCTTTGCTTCCACTGGTGCAACCAATTAAAGTGTTTAATTTTTCTGTTTCTGTTTTATCTTTTTTACGAGGCAGAGGGGATGGTTACCCTAAACAAACTGTGCAGTAAACTCTTTCCTTCTCTGTCGTACTTTGATAGTTTTAAACCCTGGGGCAGGACCTTACTTTTGTCTCATGACTTATGATCTATCAAATGTTAGTTCCTTTTCAAACCTATGCAATCCATTTGTTTATCTATTTATTTATTATAGAAACTTTCAAAAATATATTTACATGGGCCAGGCTCAGGGTTAGATTTTTGCTATATTCTGAGATTTCCAAATTTACTGGAGTTTCAGTAGGGCAGAATTGCAACATCTCCATACATGTTGTTGGGTAACACATTGGCTAAAACAGGGCTAAGGGCACAGACCTAAGGAATGTCTGTAGAATCTTTCCTGAGGCTGACAAGCACCCTCAGGGCGCTGTAGCTTAATTGTTATGAATCCATCTTATTGTGGTGTCATTTGGTACAAATTATTTTTTGACTTGACCAGCAGGAAATCTTGAGACCACCTCAGAATTCTTGTTCAAGTCAAGATTCACAAGGTCCATCTGGTTCTCTAACTCTCAACAAAATGAGAAGATGACTCTGAGGTGATTTCTTCTCTGAGTGAGAGGAGCCTGGCTTGTTTTTTAAAGCACTCAGAGGACACGCTTTCATAACCCATCCTAAAGAGTCGAAGAACTGACATAACAAAACAGATCACGGTGCCTGAAACATGACAGCCGTCTGTTCTGGATGCTCGTCCCTGTGGGTGACACGACCGGGACATTGGGGAGGGGGCTGGGGAGGTCGGCTGGGTGAACACGTCCGCCCCAGGGTTCTGCCTTCATCTCCATTGTGGAGCAGCCGCTTTTCCTTACGTAGCATTTTCTACGTGTTTTCCCCTCCTGAGCTCCTTGTGGTCAGGGGCATCCTTTTGCTTCCCCTTGTAATTCCTGTCACCGAGCATGACACACCCTGGGTGATCTTTAATTGCTGTTTAAATTGGTATACTCAAGGTTTATTTGTAAACCCAATGCCTGACCTATTACACTCAAGGGGCAAGGACACCACCCGCCTTTGGTCCAGGATACGGCAAATGGAGATGACGCCTGTGGCCTCAGGGCGTCCCTAGGAGCCGCTAGGGAGGCTTAGGACGGATGCCCCCCTCCACTCCATGAAACTCTCGAACGGTTAGCAATAGAGTCCAATGAGTGAGAAACAGTGAAATGGCTCTCTCAAAATATGGGCAAGTTGGTGGTCATTTTTTCCTCCCCTGTCATTACTAGGATTTTGTAATTCTAGGGGAAAAATGGCATGTTAAAAAAATCATTGTCCCACTCTGATCTTCGCAAAGACTTTCCTCTCCTTAAATGTGCTCATGGTAGGAGACTGCTTCTATGAACTTTTCAAAGGTAAGTATTAACTCTTTATATTTTTATCTCCAGCGTCCAGCACAGCGCCTAGTGGAGAGGAGGAAATCAACAAATGTTTGTTGGATGAATAAACAGTATTTGTGAACGTGCTCTGTAGACTGTGAAGCCTTGCACAAACGGACAGATGATGAGGGTGATTGCTTATGAGACTTAGAAACTGAAGTGGATCTCTTGTCTTAATGTACAGCACACACACACACACACACACTCATACACATACGCACGGACACACATTTTCCCTTTGAATAGTGGCTACATTTCTTTTCCCAGTGGGAAATGTGTTGGGACACTGGGTACTTTTAAAAATTTAAATCAAAATGTGCTCGCCCACTTTTTATTACTGGTGGTTCCATTCGCTCTGGCTTTTCTTGGCAAACATATTTATATGCTTAATAGTATTGTCCTCGGTTTCCCTCTGACTTCCCCTCTAACCCGTCTTCAGTCTGCTGTTCTGTCTTGACTTAGATTTTCCAACTGTCAGGCTTTCAAGGATGCATTTTTAAAAATCCATTTCTTTTGAAAACACTTGAACCAGAAGTCAAATGGCATGATGTAAACCAATAGTTTTTCAATGAAGAAATGAAAAGTCTCCATAATGACAAATAAGAGATCTAACCTGCTGACACCAATTTGGTTACACTGTATTGATTTCTACAAAAATATTATGGAAGAGAGTGTTGTATGTACTCTACCGATCAGATTACAGATATGCTTCTTAGTGAAGACAGGAACAGTGCAGGATGTAAGAGTCTGCCTTAAAGTGTCACCTGATACTAGGTGTCCCTCACTGATTCAGATATTTTCCTGGATTCAGGTGGGTCAGGCTGTCAGGGGAGAGCCACGGGCTGCATGCGGCTGTGGCCACAGAGATGCCTGGGCATCATCTGGAGATGCTGCAGGTGAGAATGCCCTGAAAAGACTGGCCCGCTACTTACTCGATGACAGTGAGTAGCAGAGCGTGAGAAGAAATCAAAATTCCAGAGTTTCCCGTAGATGCCTCAGCTTCTTCCTTAGGGCTTCAGGGTCTTTAAAGATAAATCCCAGGTTCAGCGTTTGGCTGTTTCACTTATTCTGGTGGGAGTGGTGGTGGGCTGGGAGAGCCTTCCCAGACCCGTTCCATCTGAGCTACCCAGTGCCAGGAGGAGCCCCTGATAACTCAAGACAGCTCCCTGTATGCCAGCCTCACACAGCTCAGCAGGGACTCGACACTGTCACACAGTGCAGCTCTCACCCTTCTGGGCAGTTGGCAAATCCCAAATTCCTAGGCACAGGGGTTTAAGGTGGCGATCTGGAAGGAGGGAAGGGTTAGGAGCCTTGTCTTGAGGCTGCTCTGCCTAGCAAGCACCAAATCTTTACTTCACTTGAATGTGTCTTTTGGCACATTTTGGAGGTAGGCAGACAGAGGTAATGGGGAGGGATGCTAAGAAACCCTAGGTCCCCCCTGGATACTGCCCATGGAACCCAGGTTTCATAAACCCTGCAGCCTCTGTAGTGTTGTAAGAAGTATGAGATGCTTCTTCGGAGCGTCTGAATTCAACCTCCAGGAAAGTGTTTTTCAAAGGGTTGTTCCACTGAACTAGAATATCAGAGGTGTTGGTCGGGGGGAGGCTTTCCAGGAAGGGAGGGTCTGCATTTGTAGTAAGTGTCTTAGCTAGAACTTCATGCGGAGTGAAGTTTGGAGTGATTGTCTATGAGGAGAACCTCAGATGTACGGAATTTCTTCATTTCTGCACATTCCCTCAGCTTTTGGTTTTGATGATCTCCTTACAGTCTTTTGGAATATGAACACCTCCCCTGCATTATTTTCCTCGCTTTGTCTAGGAAGTCTGCATCAGTCTGAGTGAGTTGTGTCATCAAAGTTGTGCCTCAAAACCTTTCCTGTTCCATTCAAGAGGCCGGTCACTTGTATTTACAGCACACAGTATTGGCAGTGACCTTGGGCAAGAAGAAAAACATAATGGCAATAATATTAATATCATGCATTTGAATAATGTTCTATCATTCACAGTTAAATTGAATTAAATTGCACAGTTAAGTTCATAAATTATATGATTTCACCAATTCTCACCACTTGCTGTGAGGATAGGTAATATTACTCCTCTTTCAGAGGTGAAGAAATTGAGGTTCAGAGAAGACAAGGCCTTGTCACAGGTCAGCTGAGTAACATAAGGCAGGACTGGGCCGGGGGTCAGGGTCTCCCAACATGCGGCCCTGATGCTGACACGCACCACCGGGTGACCTCCGGGGTGGCTTTCCTGCACACGCTTTGTTAAGTTGATGCTTAGAGCAGATTTGTTGCCAGCAAATCACCTGGGTTCTGATCTTTGAGGTTTCTTTGGAAGAATCTCCATTTAAGTCGCCATGGACATCCACTTGTCCAATGACCAACACTTCTGAGTTGGCCTAGCTCCGCCCTTCCCCATCAGTGTTATGGGAGCCCCAGCATTTGTTTGCCATTGTATTCCTCCAGGGAGGGTGTGAATCTAAGAGTTCCAGAAAATCTTTTTCCTTATATCTGATTGTGTCACACTTGCAGACACATCTAATGCATATGCTTTTTTGATTTTTCTACTGCTTTATTTTGATTGTCTTGATTTAATCCCTGTGAGCTCATGTTCCTTCCAATAAGTCATCTAATTAAAGAAGAAAAGGGACCTTGGAGGCCCGTGCTGGATTTTCCTGAAGAGAAGTGCAGCCAGCCTCTGCTATGCCCTTCTGCTGGGGGGCACACACTGTCGGGGGGTGCAGCCCCTAGTAACTAGATTCCTCGCATCATCACATAACCCTTTCTTTATGTTGAGCTGAAAACTTCAACCTTTATCTTCCACCCCTTGGTCCCTGTTTTGTTCTCGTAAGCAATACAGATGTCTTGTCCCTTGTTTTCATGTAAGAGTTCGTCAAACACATGGCCAGTCATCATGTAGGTCTAGAGTTAGAACATCTGGAGTTGTTCTGGGCTGAGTCATATGCCCCCCAAATTCACATGTATAAGTCCTAACCCTAATACTTCAGAATGTGATTTCCTTTGTAGATAGAGTCTTGAAAGAGGTAATAAATTAAAAGGAGATTATTGGAGTGGGCCCTATTCCAATATGGCTGGTGCCTTGATAAGAAGAGGAAGTTGGAACAGAGAGACACACAGAGAGAAGGCCGTGTGAAAGCCAAGGGAGAAGGCGGCAGCTACAAGCCCAGGAGCGGGGCCCCAGGAGAAACCAGCCCTGCCAGCGTCTTGCCTCAGATTTCTAGCTTCCAGAACCGTGAGGAGATAAATGTCTGTTGTTGAAGCCACCTGGTCTGTGGTACCTTGTTATGGCAACCCGGGCGGACTAACACAGGGGTCAGATATGCGTGGGGTTGGAGCCCAGGAGATGGGTGAGATCATCTGGGTGAACATGCAGGCAGAGAAGGTAAGAGGGCCGTGGGGTAAATCCTTCACAGAGTAGGCCTCGGGAGAAGGGCCTGGGAGCCACACAGAGAGAAGAAATGAGAGACAGCAGAGCGAGAGAAGACGAGGGAAGGGAGAGTTCTTTGCTTCTCTTCTGTTGGGTTCTAAATTTCTCAACTTTGTGCTCACTTTTATCAAAATTGTCTTTAGCATTTAAATGCTCTCTCCTTTCTTTGCCCCCTACCACCATATCAGATTAAGAAAGTGTGGGTTTTAAATCTGAAAACTGGTCATTGCAACATTCAGAGGAAGGGTTAAAGCATTTATATGAGCGTCGTTGAATTAGGGGTTAATCTCAGAACTTGGGGAATTTTTCAACGTATACACCTTTTGGACACAGACTATGACATTCAACTTCAGTGTAGATCTGGGGGTGGGTACTAAAATACATTTTGAAGACAAACAAACAATTAAATAAACAAACGAACAAGAAAGCCAAGCCCACATAACTCCCCAGATACGTCTGATATGCCCACTGGCTGTGACACACTAGTCCAGGTGAAAATAAAAGTGATTTTTTTTCTACATGCCTGGAAATGAAGCTAGACAATTATAGATTTCAAACCATGGAAAACTACAGATTTCCCCCTTTTGGGCAAAAGTTTTTACGACTCCAGTCAGCACAGGCTGTTTCCTATTCTTATTACCTTATCACTTTTCATAATTATATTGAAAATGATGGTTGTCCTGGTAGCCCTTTGGGATATTTATGTTTCTCTTCCCAACAGTGGCCTCCCTTGGTCAGCAAGCACGGCTCTTCTCCCATATTTCAGGATCTCAGTCTGAAACAAGCTCTGAAAGCTCACAACAGTCCATCATACTGACCATTACATTATTCTCTGTGACTTGGGAGAATACCCCTGTTTTCTCACATGCTCTGTCTGCTGAGAATTAGGAACCATCTCTATGTCAAAAAGAACTATCGCTCACCAGGAAGTACACGCTTCCTTCTTGTGGAAGAAAACTTCTGACATTGAACTTGATAAAGGCCATCATTTTCACAAGCTCGAATAAAACAAGTCTTCATCTCCCCTTCCACCTGTATAGGGTCAAGTATGTGGATCAGACCAAAGTGGAAAGAAGGCATCGTAGGCTTTAGACTGAAACAAATCCGGGCTAGCCAGGTAACCCAATTCTGCATAAAAACCATGAATTGGGCTATTTGAACTTAGATGTTTCAGAGAAATTCCAATGTGCTCTTTATTCATTTCTGGAATTCTTTAAAACCACTGTTCCATTGTTTTTGGAGACTGGGGAGACCATAGGGCCTTGAGAATAACCAGAACAGCCAGACTCTGTTAATTTGATTCAGGTATTTAGGAATTATGTATTAGGCTAAATAGAACTAATTAGCATTAGGTTCTGAGTAGGTAGGCAGAGCCTTACACTATGCTAAAGAGATCCCAGTGGGAAGGGGTGTGTGTGTGTGTGTGTCTGTGTGTGTGTGTGTGTGTGTGTGTGTGTGTGTAGGGAGGAGTCTGTCCTGAAATGTACCAGGCCTGCCTGATGGGTGCTGACTTGACTGGTTCCTCTGCTTTAGGGGAACTGAGACTACACTCCCCTGCCCCAGGTTATATTTTATCCAGGTGCCACCTCTAAAAAGTCATTCCTTCGGCTTTCTTTGCTTCTCTTAAAATGAAAAATTTCTCTTGGTTTGTGCAAAATGCAAAACTACTTTACTCAGGCAAATACATGAAGGGGGTTATTAGCTTTATTTTCCAGTGACCGAAAGGAACCAGGAGAGCTGGAAGGAACTTGGATGTTCATCAGTGGGAGTGAAGAGGGGTCTTGCTAAGGAGGTGAGGGGCAAGCTCAGAGAGAGGAGGGAGGGGCCCACGGACACACATTTTGCCCACTTGGGAATTTCGAAGGGGGCTGACTCTGCCCATTCAGTGCTGCCACCAAGCAAAACAAACAACATATCTTTGAGAGTGCATATTTCAACATATCTTTAATCGATCGCACGGTTTCAGCAGTTAAACAGGCCAAGGCTTAACAAGGCTAGAGTAAGAAGGGGGATTAGTCGTTCAATTACAGTGTGAGTGGTAAGTCATGACATTGATTTGGGCACAGAAGCCAGGTCAGGGATGCTGCGGAGCACCTTTCAAAGCTCGAAGGCAGAGGGCAGAAAATGGTGTCAGTCCTTCATATCCTGTCCCCCTTTTTGAGTTAGTCAGAGCTTGAGTTATGAAGCATTCAAAGGTCATTTTTGTTCCCACATTCAATTTCCTTCTTTTCACTGAGAAAACACCTTGTAGGCCAAAGATCACTGGAGGTGGCCCTGGTTCCCTCCATGCTTCTCTCGCTGGCCCCTCGTATCTGCGGGACCTGCATTTCGATGGACCCCATCTCAGAAGGAAAGTGAGTCTAGTGACCTCACTGAGGGGGGGACGGGAGCCTCTGATATGTTATCAGAGTGCCAGGCTGTTCCACATAAGCGGGGCTCTTGGCTCTGGCGTGGGAAAGTGACGCCACTGTGGGCCAACGCTCGAGCGTCGTGGCCGACTTGCTAAGTGCCTATGTCGGGGGGAAGACCAGGCTGTCCCTTCACCTCACCTTCAGGATTTGGCCCTGCTGAGGTCAGACTCTGCAGGTGGAGTCGCGGTTTGTGAGAAGGTTACAGAGCCTGAAGATGTGCTGGCATTTCTTCCTCATGCTGCTTCTGGGGACGTGCAGAGGGTGTTCTGGCCAAATGAGTCAGTCGGTGGTTTCCCGAAGAGCTTTGATTTTGGACACCTGACTTGACTCGGCGAGCGAGCGGGAGGCTGTTTTCCCTGAGTGTTTCTGCATCTTGGCTTTCATGTCACTACAGGAACAGGCAGCCCACAGATTTCTGGTATCTAATCAGGTGCATCGGTCCGCGGTGGAGATGAGAGGGCAGGAACGTCCCTCTGACTCAGATTTTGCACAAACAAAACTCAGCCTCGTTAGCAACGACAGGGAAGAGCGCCCACGGCCGCTCAGATCAGATCTTCCCCGACCATCTGTGGGGCCTGCAGATGGGGGGGGGGGTTGGATGGCAAGATTAGCAACCGGAGAGCCCCACTTCGGTCTGCTAAAGAAAATGAAAATGTCAATATTTGCACATGACCTTCAAGGCTCGTCCACTCTTGCTTTCTTCGGATTCAGGACAGACTGCGTTTTCTCCAGCCCGTTACCAACAGCTTGGAAATTCAGTTAGAGGACATAACCCAAATGTTCTCCAAATGTTCCTTCCAAATGGTCATCTTGAAAAGCGCTGTTTTAAGGCGTGCAACCTTTCCGCACCGAGAGAGGGCTGTCGCTCTGCCTCCCTGACTGCGGGGGAATTATCCCAAGATTAAAACCACCGATGATGAAGATTGCTCCACGCAGCTACTTTAATTTGTTGATAACTAAAGCAGAAGAGCCCTCGTACAGGCTTCTCGAAGCCTCACCATTGTGTACCGCACATTCAACCCTTGCTTGTGTGCTGACACAAACAAATAAACCTGATCATAACGGTTGAAATGTAGTTAGAAACACAATTGAGAACATCTGTATTGTAAGCAGAAATAAATTAGAAATACTGAAGTGTTTTGTAGCTGTGAAAACGAAGGAATAAAAAAAATATAACCCACAGTACCTGGATTAAGCGGTTATAAATAATGTATAAAGCAAAAATCTCATTACCCCCTGTGTAAACTACCCCCCATGAAATATATTTTATGAATGTAGTAACACTGTAGTAACCAAAGCATTTGTTTTTCCCCACAAACTTCCCATTTCATGACTGTGAGATTGTTTGGATTTACAAGTTTAGGACAAAACAACTCCGAGTGTACTGGTTTTGGTCTCTGCCTTGTGACCTTCAGCTCTGGGACGCGCTCCGCACGCCACTGTTCATCAGAATGCCGCTTTGCATGCGTGAGCGATTCCCCCCAAATACAGCCCCGTAAAAACGAGGAGAGGCGAACACACATCCCGTCAGTCCTGGAGGAAAAGGCCTTGACGCTTGCATTGCAGAAGCCGCAGGGAGGACCGGAGATGCTCACGTGCCCGAGACGGCAACACCTGGTGAGGTTCACGGAGTCCGGGCTGCTGTCAGTACGTCAGCCGTGTTGCTGGTGTCACCATGAGTAAAGTGACGGCTGCCAGATTACTGAGCTTTGTCCAACTGAGCAATGGGGCCATTGCAGGGGTGGCCAGAATTTTCCATCGGATACCACCCTCAGCGGAGCCCAGAACCAGAAGGGACTCAGTGCTCTGCGCACCCACCCAACCCCGCAGCCCTTCCCTCAAACTGAACATTTCTTGGTTCTTTTTTTTCCCCTATCATAAACTGTGGTCAGTTTCTGGAACATCACGGAACCAGCAGCACGTGAAG